ACGGAGTTTACAACCCTTCTCCAGTATAGAAAAAAATTAATTTATTCATACAATTAAAAAATAAAAAGAAAAAAAACTGAAATGACCTCGAAAGAGCAAGAATTTATAAGAAAGTTGTACTGCATTGCGTTGCCCAGCCTGGCCATTATGTGTATCAAAAAATGTAATTAAAGCTTGTTTTAGTTTGTTTAAGCATTAAATAGTTTTAAAGAATAATTGTAAATTTTCTATGGGTTCAATAAAACAAACATTTATAAAAAAAATAAAAAAAAAAAAAAGCTTAATCAATTCTGAATCCGCATTCTACATAGATGTTCGGGGTTCGAATCCGACATTGGAACTGTTTTTTTTTTTTATTATTTATTTATGCAATGAAATAAATTTATAATTAAATGATACCTACTCTTTAAATAAAGGAAACATTTAAAGTAAATAAAAACTTTTATTATTTATTTTATTGTCATTATAAAATTATCACATATTATCACATATTACGCGGCAAATAACTAATTAATTAATTCAAATATTTATTAAATTATTAATATTTTTAACGATAAAAAATCTGACTTAAACATCAAAAACGTACTTTTAATTTAAAACAGTAATGTTATCACAGTTTTGGAAGCATATAATTTCAAAATAAAGAAATGATTAGAGGTTGCTTAAACCTTTTACAATTATGCAATAATGCAAAAACCTTTACACATTTACATGTACATAAAAAAATAATCTAATAACAAAGCTTCATCGCCTTCATTCATTAGAATCATAGATTTAAACTACAATAATTTATTATTGATTTACGGCGTTATTTACCTTTTCCTGTTAATTCTGCTATTTTTGAAGCATTAGCGCTTTGCATTTCTGCCACTTCAATTCTTCTATTGCGGAAAAAACATTCTTGTCTGATTAGAAAAGTAACAACAAGTTCAGAAACTTGATTATTGATTGCCTGAGCGTGAACCGGACAATTAAATCCTGAATTTGAGAACTGACTAGCAATTAAACTTTTTGCATAAAAACATATTTTCTTTTCATGTAATCTATTTTTTACATCCTTGTTGAATATAGATACTGAACTTAGAATAGCTTTTATTAGATTATCTGTGATATTTCTGGTCATCATTCTTATAGTTGCTGAACACAGCTTTTCGACTTGAAGGTATGACAATTTCTGACGATAAAAATTTAGTCATGTCTGCATCGATTAATGATTTGTGATTAGTATGAAAAATAGACGGAACTGCCGATGATTTGAGATATATTTTCATATTTGAGCTGTAATCGTTGTCATTGAAATGGCAGCTGCATACATACTTAGTCCTATGCAGAATTTCTACATTTAAAAACAAAAAATCTTCTTCACCAACCAATCGAACCCATTCAGCATATCTAGAAAATTATTTTTATTAATTCTTCAGCTACTCCTTGAATTACACAACTGTTAATAACTATATTTTTAATACATAATGAACTGTCAAAAATTTGACCTACTGTCACATTGTTTACTTACTTTAGCGAGTCGGCTGGAAAACGATGATAGCGACAAGAAGATTTTTTTTTTATGCCAGCAAGATTTAATACAGCAATATGACATTATTCCTTTTTTTCTCACGTCCCACAAAAATTAAAAAAATATTTTGCAATAAAATGCAAAGAAACTGGGACAGAATTAACAATATTTATTTAATCACAAACAAATGAGGTTAAGGGACATTTACTCAACGCTTATTATTACCAACGCTACCAACTTTACGCGCGTCAGTCAAGAGAAATTTTTTTCCTTCAGTTTCTCCCACAAGTAAGCCGACTCTGGACAAAATTAGGCATGGTGGGGGTCAGAAGTGATCACCCCCTGATGCTCGAAGACCAACTGACTGTTCCACCGCTCGACTGACTATTTTAGGGCCTCAAGCTCCCCACTCCGAGAATTAAAACGAGCGACCGCGCCGCCTAGTGCCTGAAAATGAAACTGACGAAGGCCGGTACGCAAGGCTCCTGCACGAGCACGAGTATATCAATTTGCACTGTTACAAGTGTTTTAGACTTTGATAACATATGTAGGTTCATTTTAACCTTGTATTTGGAATCTGAACTAGAATTTGAATTTACGTGCGCAAGCACGCGCCTTGACTATAGAGTTTGCATATATTTTCATGCTTATGATATATTAGACCAATCACGTTACGAATAGTTTGATACCACATACACTTCATCTCAATTTTATACTAGGATAAGAATGACTGACTCTCATGTTACGTGGTTGAATAGGAGGAAGATATTTTGAGTTACATAGATTTATCTAGTGAATATTAAATTCAATGTAGGATAGTTTTACTAATTAATGTCGAAAGATTGTATTAAATTAGTTTTGTGGAATAATATTTATACAAGTTTCGTTCAAGGGATTGGGATTGAATGTGGTTAACTACCCAAGTACTACACTAATAAAAAATTTTTGAATAAAATATATGTATCTTGTTTGAGAACTTAAGTGCTTTGTTCAAGAGCGAAATTTTTGAATGAAGAATTTTCTGCTCTTCATTCAAAAGTTTTTATTAATTTATTCAAGTGAACTTTTTGATTTAAAGAAACTGAATATCTTGAAGTAAAAAGGGAATTTTGAAAAAAAATATTTTTCTTCACACAAGTAGTTTTTTTTTTACCTGGGCTCATAACCTGTTGTGTCATAAAATGGTAAAAACGAAGTAGTGATTAAATAATTATTCAACTAATTATAAAAACAATTATTTAATAAATTACAATTTTTAATTAAATTTTTATTACAATTAATCACAATTAACATTATTTACATTAACTCTTATTTTATACACTGGGATCTTTGGTCGGTAAACTGTATAAGAATCACCAGATATGTAAACGTTGATCGGACGATCTAGATACAAGAAAAACTTTATTAAATAAAACTAATCTGATAACACGTTATTCTTACCGAAGTTACTAGTGAACCATCTATCGTAAAAAGCCCAAAGATAGAATTTGGTATCCTTCTGTGCAGAATTTCAATCGAAAACTGTTCCAACTGAAAAACAAAAATTTTTTTATAATTTTTAGGATCCATTCGGTTTTGACGTAATTGTAAACTAGCTGTGAATTAGATGTAATAAAAGCTGTAAATTGACTAGTACGGCATATCAACGGTTTTATAGCAAGAAATTCATCGGTAAAAAAAAACAGTGAATGTTTGAAAATTGTTATCTGAAAATAGATTGTGACTATTCGACATAAATAACACCGACACACAAAAAAAAAAGTTGTCTGTACACCGGGCGCCACCTATCTACGGGCATGTTTTTCGACCTGCTGAACACGAATTTCAAGTCAGTTTAGGCTGTCCAGTCTTCAATTTCGAGGAAATTGCAAAAAACCCCAAAAAATAGCGAAAATTCGATGTTTTGGCAAGAAAAAAAATTTTGAGATCTAAGGCAAGCATAATTTTCAAGTATTTTGATCTGTTAAATACTGATTTTGATCGTACTTTAATCATAAACCGTTTTAAATTTAAAAAAATTGTAAAATATCCTTAAAAATTGCAAAAATCGTGAAAAATTGGGATTATCTTGGTATAAAAAATTTTGGGGACCCGGACTGATGAAGATTTTTATGTAATTTAATCTGCTTGATCTTATTCTGCAGTAAATTTGGCCTATAGTCCCTTCAAACATTCATAAAATTGCAAAAAATTGATTAAATAGCAGAAAATTGCTGCTGAAAAAATGGAAAAAAAATCTTTTAAACACAATTAAATAAATTTCTTGTATTTTTTATTAAAAAAAATACACGATTAATATTTGAAAATGCAAAAAAATTGTAAAATCTATGAAAATGATGTATAAACAGAATTAGAAGAATGATTTTCCCAAGTTTTAAACTGTTTTCCGGTGATATCGAACTCTTTTATTTTCAAATGATCTACGGAGTGGATTTCTCTTTCGTTTGTTATTTTCTTCTGGTATATCTCTTTTGAGTATCCAGCAATAGTCTGCCATCATGTTGATATTCCAATTTCCTTGATACCTAGTCTTCATTTTACTTATATCACCCTGACCAGACGCCGATACTGGGTTTCCGAATCCCTGCATATCGTAAAGTACTCATCAATTGTATCTGTCATAACGGCACATACGCCATTAACCCAGGGACTCTGCCAGATGGTTCTGTTGCCCACCGTCACCCCGAGGAGGTGCCCTGATTGCAAGTACAAGCAATTATGCAATGAAATGAAGTCTGCACATCGAAGAAGTTGAAATCCCAACATGATGGCAAATTTTTACTAAATAAAGGAAAAGGTGGAAGAAGAGGTGTCCACGTCGTAGACCATTTGAGAATGAAACAGTACAATATCCTCGAAAATCCGTTAAAAATCCAATTTGTGTACATTCTTAGATCTTAATCTTGTATTTCAGAAATAAAAAATACAAGAAATTTATTTAATTGTGTTTCAAAGATTTTTTTCCATTTTTTGAGCAGCAATTTTCTGCTATTTAATCAATTTTTTTCAATTTTATGAATGTTTGAGGGGACTATATGGCCAGATTTATTGCAGAATAAGATCAAGCAGATTATATTACATAAAAATCTTCATCAATCCGGGTTCCCAAAATTTTTTATACCAAGATAATCTTAATAAAATTTTTTATGCCAAGGTAAGACCCAAAATTTTAATACCAAGACAATTACTTTTAATTCACATTCAATTTACGTTCGATTCAGAGTATATTCACTATTAAGTTACAGTCATTGTAAGTTTGTCACACTTTTGCTATGATGACAAAACCGCAATAGATGCAAAAAATATTTCATTACCTCAGATTGTATCCCCCCGTGCATAGAGTAAACGTCCATGATTTTGTAAATAATGTCCCCTGTTTTCTGGATCTAGAAAAGTCACAACACATGAATCGAATAAGATAAGACAATAGTCGAGAAAAATTTTTCCCGGGTAGGACTGAAAGTAAATGTTATAAATGTTTACAAACCTCGAACGTGAATTGACTCATATGATGCGCCAAAACAAGAATAACAAATATTTCTTTCGCCAAAGTTACAGGTTCGCTAATCAGTGTCATAAGATTGATTTCCTTGGGACAGATAAACAGTCTTTTCGCAAAACTGAATGAATAAAAAATTAACCTCACACAAAACAATATAACGACTAACAAAATTGGCCAAGAAAAAAAATTGGACACATCTTTACACACTTGATACAACTTGCGTTGCAGTTTTCTGATCAAAATTAGAGTTTTGAGAGTCATTTCATTCTGTGAAGAACTTGTCAAAAAAGTTAGATCAGTTTTTTGATCCCTAAAAATCAAAGTCAGAAGCATCTCGTTGATGAAATCGTATCGTTTGGTTATGAAATTGATAAGCAGAGCGTACAAGAGAAATAAATTATTGATTATAAAACCCGAAATTATGATTACAAACAACCCGTAACTTCTGAATTTAATGATAATATATGTGGTATGAATCACTAAAAACAATATTTGCGGAATGAACAATGAAATTTCGTAATTGAGGTTCTTGTGCTTCCGCGAAACAGAACGGTTGAATCTGTCAGTCAAGTCGTATTCTATTTCTACTAGTTTGCCGAGTATTTCAATTGATTTCTGTTGGTTGAAACAAAAGTACAGCAAAATTACAGGAATCACCCATAGAATAGCGAGGGAAATCCACAATCCTAACAATCCTTTCTGTGAGTATATTTTAAACTTTACAATGCCGGTTACTAATTCTACGACCATAGGAAGTAATAAAACGATATTGCAAATTGTGCCTTTCCATGAGTGATGAAAACTTATTCTTGGCTTTCCGAGGTATCGCTTTCGCAGAAAGGATACTCTAAAAGGCGCGAGACCGGATATCTTAAAGAATGCTCCTATGAAAAACATTGAAGTTAGTTCGGATTTCGAAAATTTACGGGAATTCATTGTCACGTTTATGGTGAGAAGCGCTGTGACTGACTGCTTCTTCGAGCGTAAATATTATTGAAGGGAAAGGGGTGCTTTAGCTTGGTACGCTTAGGGATAAGTTATAAAGGTCAAATTTAATGGTGTTGTTTGTCACAAATAAATAAATATAATAAATAATTAATATACCTTAAGTAATAATGTAATTTTTTAGAGTATAGGGCTGTTTTCCATTTTTTTAATTGAATTTTCTATGATAAATTTTGAATTGAGAAAAAAATTACTAGGTAAATTTTCTCGTAATTAATGAGTAGGTATCGAATTTGTCCTCATGGTGGAATGTCCATTTAATTTTGCTGTCATATAACCTAGCTAGTCAAATAAGTCTCGAACATAAAAATATCAGTGGTTGAAAAATTCACATAATGCAATAAATTTCTTGCAAAAGTGAAGAGAGCAAAAACAATTTTTTAATTTTCCGGTGATTTTTGTCGAACCGTATCTCAGTGAAAAATGGCCGTAGAGACTTTTTAAAAGAAGCATTTTGTAGTCCTAAAAGATTCTAATTGCAGGCCTCATAGCGCGAAGCGCGTGAAGTTGTGCTTTATACCCGACTCGTCAAGGTTAAACAATTTTGTGATGATCTTCTAATGCCTTTATCACAACCATATTGCACTTATACAATAATATAAGTAGATGTACACTGAAAAAACACTTAAATTAAACCATCTTGTACTTTCTAAACTCATTACATGTTGGACGTAAAGTTATGAGAATCTCTCATAACTTTTGAACGGACCCGGGTAAAAACAGAATTTGGCCGCATCACAGCCGAAACACCGCTGCACGGCTTTTTAACCGCCGAAGCACCGCCGCACTATGACTGTGACTATTTTAATTTTTGTATGGTCGCCGAAGCACCGCCGCACCATAGCCGCGACTGTTTAAGTAAAAGTGGGTTCACTGGATTACCGCCGAAACACCGCTGCACAGCATTTTAATCGCCGAAGCACCGCCGTGACAGGTTAAAATTTATCAATTCGCCGAACCACCGCCGCACCACAGCTGTGACGAATTAAAAATTGTCAACTTTTAATAAATTTTGTTTGACCGCCGAACTACCGCCGTTTGGTGGTATACATTGAAATAAAATATTTGTTCATCATTCAAATAACTAAACCAAATTCTCTCAGTTAACTACGACTTGCAGCGCAGTTGGTAATGTTCGAGACTTCCACGCAGACGACCCAGGTTCGATTCCCATCGCAGCTGAATCTTTAAAATTTTTTCAGGATATTTCGATCGACTCGCCGTTTCTGTGCAAACCGAGGACGAAATTAAAAATCAACATCAACAATACGACTAAAAAAAATCAATAATTTACTTCAGTCTGATTCAAAAAACTTTTTTGTATTTGAATATTAATTTAAGTATTTGAATAAAAGGAGGTTGTACTATAAGTCTTACATTAAAATTTCTAGTCGGGTTATTTATTAATTAATTATTGCGTGATAAATTAATTATGAAGCCATTTTTTATAAAATTGTAGCTATGCTTTAGCATTGGTGCGGCGGTCGTTCAGCGGTGGTTCGGCGATGCGAGGGGGGGGGGGTAAATTTTTAGCGTGCGGCGGAATATTCCGCCAAACAGCGGTCGTTCGGCGGTGGTTCGGCGGTCGAACAAAATTTATTATTTTTTCGTAAAAAATAATAATTTCATTTTTACACGGGGATTCATCCGATTCGATCAAAATAAGCGGCGTTCCAAAGAGTTCCTTTGCCCTTAAAATTCTGATACTAGTTTACAGAATTTTTTCGATCGTAGGATCAGATTATATTCTCTAAACATGAATTAGTGAAAATTCACTTGAATAAGTGAATATTCACTTATTCAAGTGAACTTTCATTAATTCATGTTTAGATTATAATTTGTTTATCCAGGTCCAATTTTCTTTCTTTACTTTCTTGCTACGTCCATTTGTGGCGGAGATATCCGAAACTAAATGAATCAGGACCCTTTTTTGTTCAACCGTTGAAATCTCAACAACCATAGTGATCGTACAGAAAAGTAGAGGGCAGTTTCAAATTCTGAGAATAAAATTCCTAAAAAAATTTCCGAAGACATTTGGAGAAATAAATTTTTTTTCATTCACAATTTCAATTTAAAAAAAGCTAAAAATAAAACTGACTTTTACGTGTTTTGGAAAAACGGCTACATCTTAGAAAATACTGATGGAAAAACTTAGATTTTCAAAATTTTTTTCACTTCAACGTACCCCCAATAGCCCTTTAAAATTGTAGATAGATAGATCCATCAAACAGTTTTTTTGGACCGATTATTCAAAGCTTCGAAAAAAATTGAAGTAAAATTTTCTTTTTAAATTTGACATTTTTTAATGAGTTCAAAAAATTTATTTTTTGTTGTTTTATCATTCTCATGTTACGAAACACTATCTGTAACCGATAAAGAAAAAATGAAAAACTTTTTTTGAACAAAAACGAATTATTGCAAGAATTTATCAATCAAGAATTTTTAACGTTGTTAATTTAAAAGAAAAATAAATATTATTAAAATTTTTGGTCCTACATTGATAAAAAAATTAATTTGGCTCAAGAGCCAAAATCTTGAACCAAGAATTCTATTTTGAAGAAAATGATTTTTTTGAGTTAAGAGAATAAATTCTTGAGACAAGAAAAATTTACTTAAAGCAAGAATAAATTGTTGACTTAAGAATTTATTCTCTTGACTCAAGAAAATTAGTTTTTTCAAAATGGTATTCTTGGTTCACGATTTTGGTTCGTGAGTCAAGTTAATTTTTTTATCAGTGCACAGACCATCCTTGCAACTGCCTGCTAATTTCAAATGCAGAGTGTTCCAAATTTCATCAATTACGACGTTTTTGAGCTTTTCAAGCTCAGATGTCTAGTTTTTATTTCATTAAACCCTTCCGTGAAAATATTTAAGCACAAATATCTTTCGATGAAATCGATTTTGATACAATTTACGACAATCGACGCAGTTTTTAAGCTCAACAAAAGAATTCATTACAAAAAAATTGATTTGATAAAAATTTTTCAAGTTATTTTGAAAAAACGATTTTTCGAGATTTCTTTTGACAATGTTATCTCTCGAATAAATCGACCGATTTTAATCCGACTTGCAGTAATCGACGCAATTTTTAAAGTATATGAGCTGATTAGATCATAGAATTGATCAAAACAGAAGTATTAAATAATTAAAAAAAAAAAACTATTTTTTGATATTTATTTAAAAAAACTCAAGTTTTTTCAGAATCTACCGTACCAATTCGGTCTAAACTCATAGAAAATCTGTTTAGCGAGGCTCTTTCAGTGTGAAAGTTTCACATGTCGCAAGCCACTTTTCGATCGGATACTCCCAACGCTCTAACACTCCGACACACACACGCGCGCGCATACACATAATCGTTAAGATAGCCAGAATAGCTTCTAAGGGCCTTACATCGTCGAGATATGATGGAGACTCGAAAAAAACGATGAAGATAACTTTGAATACTTTTAAACAAATTTTTTTAAGCAGTACATTAAAAACAAAATTTTTGAAAAAAAAAAAAAAAAAAAAAGTTTCGATTAATCAATTTTTGAAAAAGTTGTAGCTTATTGAAGAAAAAATATAATTTTTTTTTTTTAAATCATAAGTAAGGAAATGAGAATAATTTTTCATTTAAATTGATGGGGGTCGGGTTCTAAAGTGTTCGATTTGGCGTGGAATGCCTCCTACATTAATATAACGACAATTATTAGTAGAAAATTTCCAAATATTGTCAAAATTTAACAAAACACTTAGCTAAAGATTTTCTTATCCATAAGTCATAATTTTCGGCAATTACATATAGTAACTGTAGGTTGCTATTTCTCTTCATTTATAACAATTTTTTCTATATTATCGTATAGGATAATATATTTAATGAACTTCTTTGGAACGGGTTCCAAATATTTCTTTCCTCGTACAAAAGATAATAATATATTTTTTTAGTTTCTCAGTAGCATTCTCCTTTTTCGCAGTGATCAGGGCGATAAATAATTTTTAGAAACGATGGTTTTCTTAATTTCAGACAGTGATAAGTTTGATTGTGACAGATTTATATCTGTAATAAAGTGGAATTCTTAATAAAATTATCAATAAATGTTATTAAAAATACCATACAGCAAACTTACCAAATCACATATAATTAAAATTTCTTCAAAATGTTTACGTCAATTAGTCAAAGTAATCTTAGATATTAAAAAATAGAAAAAGTATATCGATGGTCTAATTAGTAATTTGTCTAACTCCATATTTTTTAGAGGGTGATTTTTTTAACATTTTGATGTAGCCATAATCGAATTATAAATTATTTGAATGATTCAAACCTAAATATTATATATCTAATAGATAATAATGATATTAAATGGTTTTTTAAAGTGATAATGAATTTTGAACTAATTGTTTTTTTCGTACAAATAGAAGATTCTCTAAATGGAGTTAGACAATTTACTAATTAGAACGTCGATATAGTATTATGTTCAAGAATACTTTACCTTTACAATCAATTCAACTCTAGCGTTGAAACAAAGTAAAGATAAAAGTCTACTTCTGACACTAAGTCTGCTATTAAAATAATTACAGATGATAGCTAACGAGAATTCAAAATTCAAATTATATGTTCTATAGACTGTAACTTAAGTATAATATGCGTTAACTATTTTCGTATTTCCGCGTTTAGTAATTATTTATTCAAAGCCACCTGGTTCCGCAAAGTCGCTATTATAAGGTATTGTTAGATTCTGCATTGTACGCCTGATCGATATGAAGCAACGGCGATTCAAAATAACACCTGAGAGCGCAGTTAATTTCACAAAAGTCACCGTGTACTTGACTTGTATTTCGCTGCCGTTGTCGGGAGGCACAGCGAGATTTAGATTCGAGATAATATTATGGCTGCTCGTGATTTTAGCGATTTCTTTATTCATCCCGCTTCTTGCTTCGATAATAAAGTACTCCAATGACACGTTCATTGTCATGAAGTCATTCATCTTGATGTCGGCAATCTCCAACTACGTTTTCAAAGTTATAATAGTTAGGATTTACCACAGAGAACTGCAGGTTTGTTTCAATTTTTCTAACTGTGTAGTAAAAATTAAGTAAATATTTTCTTTCTAGCAACTGGGATCGGCATTAAATGAATTTATTAAAAAAACAAGTGTCAGTGAGAAAGAAATTCTGCAAAAATATGTCAACAATTGCTGGATGTTTCATGGATTCATGACATGTAGCTACTACTTAACTACGACAGCAGTAATCCTTGGACCCCTAATTCTTCCCCAGAAGTTCCCCACCGATGCAGTTTACCCGTTTTCAGTGGAAAATCGCCTTGTTTCACGGATAGTTTACTTGCATCAAAGCATTGTCGGGTACCAGTGTTCGGCGGGAATGGCTCTAGATTGTCAAGCTGCTATGTATTTGTGGTACTTGAGCGCCAGGTTTGAGATTCTCAGCTCCGAAATCAAAAATGTCAATAGCCATAATGACTTACGTAATTATATTAAGAAACATCAAAAGACGCTGATGTAAAAATTTTTATTAACAAATTACTATCTTACTATTGTTTTTTTTTTTTTTAACTATTACTTTGTAGGGATTCTAAGGAATTGATTCGTCCAACAAGGTTATTAGCTTTGGTCACGGTTATGATGACCAAAATTGGGATGATTTTTGGAGGAATCGTGTTAATTTCAGTAAGGATTTGTTTGTGTGAAAGTTATTAAGATTTTGATAAGAAATTACTTTTTTTATTTCATTTATTTTAACTTCCCGCTCAGAAAATTGAAAAACTTTTTTTTTTAGGATGAACCAGTGGTTATTAAAATCCAATTTGGGATTTTGGTTATCAGCACAACGGTTAATATTTATGTATTTGCTTGGGCTGCAGATAATTTGATAACTGTTGTAAGTGAAAATAATGTTTTATTTAAATTTTCAAGATATCGATGAAATCATACTTTTGACTTTTATCAGTGAAATTTGAGGACGGTTCAGAACCGTTTCAATCAAAATAACTCAGGCAATAACTAGGAAGGAAATTAACTAAGCAACAATAATCAATGAAAATGATTTCCTTTAGAAACCCCAATGAAAAAAATTTATAATAAAAAAAAATATGTATTAAAATATATAAAAAAAAAATTTTTTTTATATTTAAAACTGAAAATATCAAGACTCGAAATTTTGAATTACTTTGTTTAAAAAACTATAATATGATTTTTTAGTGGATTATTGATTAATTCCTAAAAATTTGATAAAAAATGACTTAATTTTTAATATGATAATACCAAAAAAATTTTCAGTCAAGCACAAAATTATCAAACGCAATTTTTGAGACATCATGGCGGCATGAACCAAAAATAAGAAATTTGCTGCTTACAGTAATATATAGAACTCAAAAGCCTATCATTATCAAAATCCCCGGCCTTCTTGACACTTTATCCAATGAATACTACGCTGAGGTAAGGATTTTCGGGAGAAAAACGAACAAAAATTAAAATTTTTTAATAACATTGAAATGTTTAGTTTCTTTCAGCAGCATTCTCTTGCTTTGCAGCAGCGCGGGTCGCCGTAAGCTAAGAAATTATAAGAAGTATTATATATTTTTTTTGTATTGAAATTTTTTAACAAAATGTATCAGCTGCAACAAACAAATTTTATTTTTCACAAAAATATATTTACACTGGAAGTGAAACAATTTTTACAAGCCAATACTTTAATCTTGGTACAAAAATTAATAATATTTTTTCAACATCAATTGTACCCTTGACTTGAACAATTATGTTCTTGAAAATTTTTAATAAAGTGAGGCTCTGAGATAACTGAAAAAAACATAAAAGCAAGTATAGTTGTTTCTCAGATATTAAAATGATATTGTAGTGGTATCATATTATTTAAGTCACCCTAACTTTCCAGTTTCCATCGCTTCCACAGATTCACAATAAAAATAGTAAATCCCAGCTTTAATGCTTTTGTAAATTCGAATACATAATTACTATGTATTAATTCTATTGGATTCTAAACAAATTATATCCTGTATGTTGAATTCTCTGATTCAAAAATGAATTTAGTTTAAAATATTTTATTAGTGAAAATACTCTTTGTGTAAGCGAGAGTATTTCTCTCTATTTTGTAATATTTGGAAAACCTTGTTTTCAAACATGTGCATGCAGGATGTTTATGTAAGCCTGTAAGAAATGAATTTTATGACTCTGGGAACTTGGGTCAGTTAAGAGGACCTTTTTTGTTACCCGTTAAAGTACTAGCTATACATATATATTTATGTCTTAGTTGAAAGTAATTTTTTATATATAGTTTAAGTTTACTTTAAGGAAAATAAGGAGAGGTTACTAGACCTCAGTATTAAATAGTTACTAAGATATAAGTTAGTCTAAGCAAAACCTTTGAAACGTAAAGACCAATTTCTTTCAACACGATCTCTTAAATAAAGAGATTATTTTAACTATAATATACATATTGCGTTTAATTAAATTATTTATTTATCACGATTATCCCTATAAATCCAACACTGTATTTTTAAAGTAGGTGTCTAGGCTTGAGACCAAAAAACAAACTTCGATTCCAAGTCGAATCCTCAAAAAAAAGATGTTTCCATGGCAGACAAAGTATTTTCGAATTAGCAAACTTGAAACAAAAATTAGAAACGACATTTTAATGAGAAAGGTTTTGCACGTCGTAATTTATCACCTTCTGCCAAAAATTGACAATAGAAAAAAATGGCGCCGGCTATGTGAAAAATAATGTACGAAAATTGACTTATTTTTGCACCGTTTGCGTCCTGTAAATTTTTATATTACAAATTATTTTCAAAAAAATGTGGTATAGGTTTTACCACACAAAAATCCTTAATTAAGAACCGTAAAAAGTTTCATCAAAATCGATCAAGCAGTTAAGGAGATTATTTGTTCGCCAGCTGAAAAAAAAGTTACTTCGAGAAAAACACGTTTAAAGTTTTTTTTTCCGCTTTGCATCTGTCGACCTGCTCCTACACACATTGCTATAACTTTTTTTCTATTGCGAATTCTGTCACCAAATTTTAGTAGGTGATTCTCGACATTATTAGACCTTAAAAAATGAAATAAAATTTTTTTTGGTTTTCCGAAAGTTTTTGGCTAAACACCTACTTTAAATTAAATTCTAATTATCGACCTACCTACTTATGTAGTCAATAATTATAGAAAAAAAAAAAATTAGAAAAACGGTTCACCCTAAAGGCCATCCGTGCAACTTCCCGCTAATTCCATTCCTCGGCGCTTAAAATTGTACTTATGACATTTTTGAGATTTTTGAGCTCAAAATATAATTTATGTGATATTTTGTGCTCGCTGAGTTCAAAGAAATAATATTTCAATGTATTTGAGCTCTCCTAGCTCAAAAGTCTGATAGAAGTTTCATAGAACACTATTTTTGGAATTTTCAAACCGCAATAACTTTTGAATGGATCAACCAATTTTCACGCGGTTGACGCCATTCGATGCAGCTTTATCATCCTCATAAGTGATTGTCAGGTTTTAATTGATCGCACCGAAAATTTTGGAGTAATCCCGAAAAAACACTTTTTTTAGTTTTCTTTCGTTCACGATATCTCTCGAACGAATCAACCGATTTCGACCAGCTTGGTGGCAATCGACGTGGTTTTATGATGTTAAGAGCTGATTAGTTTTTGGAATCGATCGGTAGAGCTGTTTGAAAGTTATTCCAAAAAATGTCGGAGTTATGTTGAAAAAATCCTTATTTCCAAATATTTCGTCGAGGATATCTCTCGAACTAATCAACCGATTTCCACGTTTTTGGCGGCGATCGACGCGGTTTTTTAAGCTCTGAAATTATCCTATATCATCAAAAACGATTCGAGAAGAAATGACGAAGTTATGTGAAAAAAACACTTTTTTCGGTTTTTTTCGGTTTTCTTTCGTTCACGCTATCTCTCGAACGAATCAACCGATTTTGACCGGATTAGCGCCGATCGGCGTGGTTTTTCAAGCTTAAGGGCGGATTAGTTTTTGAAGTTGATCGATCGAGCCGTTTAAAAGATATTCCAAAAAAACCACTTTCAAAAATGATTTTTTTTGAGATTTTTCAAAATTTCTCAAAATCTATCGGTCTGAATCGGTTCAAATTCTCAGGAAATCTAAGTTTGGCGAAGCCCTTTCGAATGCCACCAACCGCGATGAAATCGGTTCAACCGTTCAAAAGTTATAAGCGATTCACATACTTACACACACACACACATACATACATACAGACATAGTGACAACCTCGCGGGATAGTCAGGGAAGCTTCCTGTGACCTTCAAACGTCGAGATCTGATGAAAACTCGATTTTTGCAAAACGGGGTGAAAACAATAACTTCCCGATTTTTGAAAATCTGAGATTTTTAGCGGGAAGTTAAAAATTATAATAATTTCAGTTGATATTCTCAGTGTCAAGAAGTAGTTATGAAGCTACTTACATACTTCTCTGATCGATTTTTGATGGCTATAGTCAATTATAGCCGATAATGAATCAATTAATATGAATAAAAAGTTCTTCGGCTAACAAACATTAGTACTTGAAAGCTTTCATGTTCTTTGTGTAGTCTTGTACGGAACAGAGCTTTGTACCTTTCATAGTTGATTGATTCAACAAACTACATTTAAAAATAAAAGTACAATTTACGTCGAACGGATGATTGAAACCTACAGTTTAAAGCTTTAAAAAGAATTTTCATAGACCGTTATTATTTTGATAATCAAATCGTCAGGAATGACAACTTTGTGGGAAGTTTTTTTTTTCAATTTACTACATAATTGAGTGTTGCTGAATATATGTGAGTAGTTTTGAAGTTTTCAAAAAGAAACCTTTCTTCAAAAATAGAATATTTAGATAAATTTTTATCTAATTTTTTAATATTATTTTATTATTATTTAATTTATTTTCTAATTGTCTAATATTTTTTTTAGAACAAATGAAGTGATTCTATCAATTTTAGACATTTTTGCAGACGGGCTTGAGCATTACTATATGCATTTTATGATAGCGTTTTTGCTGAACTACTAGTAAACGAGGTTAGAACTTCTGTTACATAATTTAGAAGAAATAAGCAGTAATGAATAGCTCAAAAATTACATTATTGAGTGCCGAAATATCATAGGTTAGAATTGCATTCCTATATTTTTAGGCTGGATTTTTTGAAAATTTGTATCTTGTCAGTTTCGTCAATGGTTCGTATATAAGGTAAAAAATTTCTGCACGGAAATTTGAAAAAAGTGTTGATGGTGTCGAACAATCTGTTAAGTATGGCAGAATACACTCAATAAACTTCAGCTGAATAGATTAATTTTGAGGAATGTGAAGTTGATCCTTGCTTACTCAAAAACAGTAGTAAAAAATGAGTTATTAAAGATCAGTTTTTCAATCCGAGATAAAATTAATTTTATCCTATCCCTGGCGGATCTGAAATACCGTCAAATTACGGTATTATACGGTAAAAATACGGTCGATATACCGTATGGCCACCGTAGATTACAGTATCATTCTACATGCGCAGTAGAAACAGTAAAACACCGTAACGTACAATAAAGACCGGTGAAAATACGGTATAGAACGGTAAAATTACGGTAGCGTACGGTGAAAATACTGTAGAATACATACTTCTGAACTTTCTGCACTACCGTATTCCAATGGTAACCTACCGTCAAATATACCTTATTTTAGCGATAAGTTACGGTATAATTACGGTACATTACCGTACAATTATGGTAAATTACGGTACAATCGCGGTACTCTGCCGTACAATCTCCGTAATTTACGGTGTCATACTGTATTAAGGTAAATCACTATATACGTACCGTATTCTACCGTAAATTTGCCGTACATTACCGTACTCTACCGCACTTTGGATCCGTCAGGGATGTCAATATATATTTATATATTTCATGTTTATAAATATACTGGCAATAATAATTTTATCCTGGATAAAATTTTATCACGGATTGAAAAACTGGCCCTAAGTGATAGAAAGATATAATTTGGCATGAATTGAAATAATTTAAAGATTAAAATTCATTTTTTACGATGAACAATTTTCTTTCATATATTTGGTTAACGATTAATCTATAAAAAGAATCGGATACATAATCATTAAAACTATTATTATTATTATTATTATTTTTTTTTTTTTAAAAGAAAAAAACAAGTATTTTCTATCATTTACAAAGTTGTTGGAAGTGATTAATTTTTACTGTATTTTAATGGGATTTCATTGTTCTTTGTTAATCGACTAGTTACAAATCATAATATAAAATAACTAAAATATATATACTAAATATTTTGTTGATAAAATAAAGCATGGAATTATTAAAATTACATTGATAATTGGGATTTTTGGTTGGTTTTTAACAATTTTTAAATCGATGTGTCATTGGCACCATTGCCCGAGAGGGCCATTTTCGAAAGACTCGATAGGCTTCTTCTGGGACTACTTCCACCTAAGAATCCGCTGCTGGTTTCGGAAAAGATTTTCCGGAAGCTGTAACATCGAAACTTAATTTAAACATTCCAATGAATAATTTCGAGTGTTTTAAATTCAAATTAAAAAATATTTTAGAAAGTTAATTATTAAAAATAATTTTCATTTATTACAATTTTCGGATGCCCGATTCGGAAGATTTTTTCCAAGGCGCGTCATCCGGTTCGTGAGGTAAAGGTCCTTGGACAGGAGCATCTTTGTCATCTTCTGGCCTATAAGAAAAAAATATTTCCATTGAACGATATTGATTGTACGAAGATTCATAAAAAGTAAAAAGAATTCAAATTGAAGAATATAGAAAATTGATGTAAATCAAAATAAATCTGTATAGTAAAAAATCAAAAATACTGATAAAGAATTTTTTTTTGACCGAATTTATGAATGTACCGAATGTTTATTGATAATACAGATTAGGGTGGTGTAAATAAACTAACATTTTTTTTTAATTAAAGTTTTTTACCACATGATTACAAAAGAAAGCTATACTAAAAATATTTTAAATTAAAATTTTTAGTGCGAGTAAATATATGTAAGTGTAACCATAAATAAGTGTAAATCAAAAATATGATCAAACATACGTTTCAGGTTTAGGACGATAGAGTTCCAGTTCATCTTCTAGATCAGAAACTCGAGCTTTCAATTCATTTCGTTCGTGAAGAATTTCTTTCAGTTCAGCGGTCGTAAATCTTGGTCTATCTGGATCATCAAGATCGTAAATAACTTTATTTGTGAGATCAGGACACCCTTGTGATTTAGTCAAATCTTCATTTTCTTTTCGAGCCAGACCAAGTCGTGCTCTTAAGGTGATTAATTCACGGTTTTGATCTTGTAATTGTGCCAGAAAATCAGCTCGTTCTTCAACAAGTCCACGAGATTGCATTTGTGCTTGACGTTGTTTACGCTTTAATTCTCTACCAACAGCGCTCAATTTTTCTACTTGAATCGTTAACTATACATAAAAATGAATGCTGAGTAAAAACATGATACAGAGAGCATTTTTTTATGTTTAAAAAAATATTAATCATAATTTACATTTTCAATTTCTAAGTTTTTTTGTGATAATTCACGATCGCGAGCACGAATTTGATCTCTCTGCTTGTCAATCATACTTCTTAACCGTTGTAATACAGTGATATCAACTTCTTGACTGGCGGTGAAAGCTAAGAAAATAAACTTAATGATTAATTAGTCTATTGACGGCGAAAATATTATATTTTATCTTTCTACTAATAACTTAAGTACTTTGGATGGTTGGAACAATAGATAGGCATTAATTGTAATTTTTAAAGCTAAAATATTTACAAAATATCAAAAACAATTTTAAAAAAGTGGGTTAAAAATCGAAGATGTTCGAATCCCATCTTGAATAATAGCTTAAAATATTTTTTTTGTAGTTTAGTACAACATATATTTTTTCCAAAAATATCAAAAAAGTCGCTCTTCAAAAAAACTCAAAATTTGGGTTTAAAATTGGAAAAGAAAATTGAAAAAATGAAAATTAAATTTTTTGTTAATTTTCTTCAAAAACTTAATTCCAAGACGAAAAAAATAACTCCATTCCCGTGAAATTAGGACGAGTTAATTACGAGTTATGAATTTTTTAGCCTTGACATAGCACTATTATTTTGAAATTTTCAAAAATTCATACTTGAAAAACTTTTAAAAATTAAAGATTCAAAATTTCATCTAAGCGTCTTTTGACACATACAAAAATATGTTAAAAACTAAATGAAAAAATGTGATTTTTCGAATCTAGTGATTTCGTGTGGAATGACCCAGGTACAATAAAATCGGTTTATTATAGCCAACAGGTATCATAAAAATATTTATCAACCCTAACGTCAAATAAAATTGATTTCTAATTAAAAAAAAAAAAAATATTTTTATCATCAAAATTAAGATTAGCGCTTCATAGATATAAAGCTCTGATCGTAATACTGATTCTCCTTTGGCTTTATTAATTTAAATCTATTCTGACAAGGAAAACACTACTTGTAAAGCATTCGAATCTACAGGATATTTCAAAGATGGGAAAAGAACGGAACAATATTAAGTCATTATTTCAAGTTATCATATCATTAGTTTTAGCAATTTTAGTAGAATAATAGTCAATTTTCTCTATGAATTGATTAGAATTGTGTTATCAAGGAAATTATCTGATTATTAGTAAAATTACTTAATAGATGTTAAAATATTAATGTATGAGGAAAGGGATCAGTACATTGTTTACCGCTGTCCTGGCTGTCATTGCGAGATTCTTGAAGAGCTTCAGCTAGTCTACGATTTTCATCTTGTAGTCTTGTGACCATACCAACAAGATCTCGAGATTCTTGTCTCCAGTGTTCTTCTGTTTGTTCAACTTCCTAAAATATATAAATTTATAATTCAAATTCAATGACAAGCCCGTGTAAAAAAAATTGTTTAAAAAATGTTCACAGCTTGTAACATCAGAACGTGACACAATTACGAACATTTTTTGAACATTTCTATGACTTTTTCCTCAGTCTTTTTGGTAGAGTAGCCTCTCTACAGCCTCTCACACTAGAAAAAACCTGTTTTTGGTTGTCTAAAATTTGCTCCAAAAAATTCGTTTTAAACATTTTTTTTAACACTTTCGAAAAATATTTTAAACATTTTTGAACAATTCCCGGGTAAAAAAAAAAATTGTCCCAAGCGTGGATATCCAAACGTTACACAATGAGGGACATTTTTTGGACAATTTTGGCGCATCACATAAATAATCGAAAATTTTCAAATAGTGCATTTTAAGTGAATTTTGAGTATTTTTTTCTAAGATTTTTGGAATACTTCTATAATTTTAAAATCAACGCGTTTTATTTTAAACAATTTAATTAAAGTAATGTCCTTAAAATCTTATGTGGAACATTTTTTTAATAATCTTAAAACATATTTTGAACAATTTGAAAACAAATTTTGGATAAATTTAGAACAATTATGGGATATTTTTGGAACGATTTTTTAATGAATAAAAAAGTGCTAATTTATATTTGCACAGCTGTAGATTTGTCCGAAAATTAATGGATGGAACATTTTTTGGATATTTTTAGATTGTTTTGAGAGCAAATTTGGAACATTTTTAAAACAATCTTAGGACGATTTTGAAACATTTTTTAAATGATTTTAGGAAAGATAATTTATTCTTGCACAGCTGTAGATTTGTCCTAAAAATTGTTACAAAAATGTCTTAAAATTGTTCTCAAATTGTTCAAAAAATGTTTTAAGATTATGAAAAAAAATGTTCCACATAAGATTTTGAGGACAAATTTTAACCAAATTGTTAAAAATAAAATGCGTTGATTCTAAAATTATCTTAGAAGAATTCCGAAAATTAAAAAAAAAAATACTTAAAATTCACGAAAAAGTTCCTAAGATGCACTATTTGAAAATTTTCGATTATTTATGTGATGTGCCAAAATTGTCCAAAAAATGTCCCTCATTGTGTAAAGTTTGGATGTCCACGCTTGGGACAATTTTTTTTTACTCAAGTATTTTTGGATATTTTTTGAACAGACTTTTTAAAAATATTAAAAATTAAGTATTTTTGACAAATCTTGGACACCTCGAATAAGGGCTTTTTCTTGTGTTACTTGAAAAGAAGTCGTGAAAGTGTTCTAAAAATGTTTCAAAAGTGTTTAAAATGACTTTTTTCGAAATAATTTGAGACAACGTGAAAACAGATTTTTTCTAGTGTGACAGAGGAAAAAGTCATAAAAATATCCATCAAATGTTCAAAAAATGGTACAAAATTCTAAAAATTTATCGATCAATCCAGGCTGCATTTATCAAAGCATTTTCGATTTCTTGTTAGGTGTTTAAAAATTGTCTAAAAAAATTTCGTAATTGTGTCACGTTTTGATGTTACAATCTGTGAACATTTTTTGTTACACGGGAATATTATCAAATTTTTAGTTCGATATTTTAAGAATCATAATTCAAGATCAAACAAAATTTTATAATTCATTTGTTTATTCGATTGTCTTTGAATTATGTAAGTTAGTATTAGTATAGTAGTATTACTAGTATAGTAGTATTTTATAAAAGGATACTTACTTTCTCAAATCTTTGCCGATCTTCTGCTTTTCCGATTTTATCATTTTCCAATTGCGAAATTCGTGCGGTCAATTCTTGCACAGTTGTGATTTCTCGTTCATTTTTTGTAGCAAGGTTTTCTAATAACTCCAATGCATTAATAACTTTTGGCATGAGTCCAGTAACAGCATCAGTTCCGAAAGAATCTATCAGTTTTTCGCATTCTTTTCCTATCTCAGATGCAATGTCGTAGACATCTACGACCGATATGTCAGATCCTGAGTATTCCTCCATATCGATGGTGCGTGTTCTTAGGTGAAGAGGCATTTAAACTCTAAAGATATTGTATATCATTCTTTTTTTGCTATTAATATCAATATATATTAGTTATTTAATGATGAAATGTTATTAAAAGTATAGTAATTAAGTGTCAGAAGTATAAGATCGAATTTACAAACAATATTTTTTGTGATCTAAAGTTTTGAAACGTACATAATTATAATTAATTATGAACAAGCCGAGTTAAAAATCTACTTGATAATTAACAGGCATCTTAATGAAATTTTTTATTGAAATAAGATTCATACCCTGATAAAAAAAAAAAAAAAAAAAAAAAAAAAAAAAAAACTATCTTGATTTAAGACAAGAATAAGACAACAAAGAATCCTTAACCCAAGAAACTTACATTGAAAACAATCAGTGATCGCGCTTAAAAAATGTTTCGTCTAAAATTTCATCATCTTAGCTCAAAAGAGAAAATATCTTCAACTGAAAACTATTGTCAAGACTTCATTAAAGAGTATATTTTGTTTAATCAACACAACCAAATTCTTCATCCAAAATGAATTTTCTTTAGCAAAAAAAACTTTTTTTTTTTTACGAACCTTTTATTCTTGGTTCAAAAAAAAAAAATTCTTCATTCAAAATAGAAAACGAAATATTTTATAAAAAGGAGTTGACGCTGTAGGTCATCCTTGAAACTTCGTATAATTTTCAAACTCAAAATGTCTAAAAATTTACCAATTAGTTGATTTTGAGCTCATCAAGCTGATAAATCTAAGAATTCTTCCAGAACATTTTTTTCAATAGTTGGAAGTATATTTAGTTTTAGATATGCAGTACTTGCAAGTACAGTACCCTCGCCCTTCGCATCCTGATACCCGACCCTTTCCTCTTCCATAGCCATTGATCCCTTAATATTGCATTCTTTGTTATAGGCGTAAGTTGATCTCACAACTAACTCTTTTCCGGGTCATTAGTCAAGCAGATATACTTAAAGCAAGCGGGTGCTGTTGCCTACTAACAGTCCCTTTTTCATTTATTGTACTTTAACACTTATGTATACAGTTGTCATTTCAATTATAAATGAAACCAAGCATTAAGCTTAATAATTGTGTATCAATTAGTAAAACTAACATCAACTCTTAAATTGCTATATCTTTAGAATACATATCATTCGATTTTTATTCTTTTGGCAGTATTCAGTGCATCAGTTTTTTAAGCACATAAAATAGATAAGGTCTTGAGTCGATTGGTTAAAAAATTTGAAAGTTACCCTAAAAGACTAAAAAAATAAATTTTATTTTATGAATATCTTTTAAACGGTTTAACCAATTGACTTCAAAATCTAATTAAATTAAAATTTTAATAATTTTTTTAAGAGCCGTGTTACGTGTCTCAATTGACGGATCCGTTTTATAGATATCGAACGATATTAGTATATTTACACACTCTATAGATACACATGTGGCTGAACGTCCAGCGTGAAATAGTCAGAATGATTTTCAAAAACTTCAAACTCGGAAGATTTGATGAAAACTCGGTTTCCGAAATCAATCGATTCTTACTTATGAAAATGATACATTTTCAAAGAAGGTTTCGTTAAAAACGAAAAATTCACTTTAAAATGTTTAAAAGCGTATTTGAAATTTTTTTTTAGTGATATAGAAGATAACAATAGTCCAAAAGTTTTTACTTTTAACGATATTTTTGAAATAAATCGATAATTTCTTGAGCCAATGTTATCGTGTATTTTAATCCAAGAGAAAATAATACTTTTGTTCGAAGTATATTGTTTATCTTGCTTGAAAACAGTAAGGTGCTTCAGTGAATTCATAAAATTCATGAATGAAGAAATTTCTGCTTTTCATCCAAGAATTTCAATTTATTAATTCAGTGGTTAATTTCTTGAATTGAGAAAACTTAAAATCTTGAAACAAAAGTGAAAATTTAAGAAAACATCTGTTTTCGAATCAAGAGGTTTTGTTTTTTACGTATTGTTGATTATTTAATTCATGATCATACATTCTTATGTTATGAGTCATGACTACTTTATTATTCATAACGTCATAACTAATAAAATAAATAACTGAATGTGAATCTGGAGGGCTGTTTAATTCGGCCAGTAAGAAAATTAAATCAGGTTAATTAGGAAGCTAACAAATCAGATTAGCTGAATTAGCGGAAAAAAGTTGAAAAAAATCTCAAGCTTCTTATTTTTAAGAGCATTTTCTATGTTTTTGATAGTTAACAATTAAATTGTACAAAATAAAATTAGCCACTCAATCGGTTTAGCTATTAACTTATTAGCTGATAAGTTGATTAAATTTCAGTCAGCTAAGCCGTTGAATAATTAACTAAATTTAATTCGTTAAACTACTAATGCAACTAAATCGATCAGTGAGCTAACTAATTCGCTTGACTAATTTTTCTAACCAAGTAAATTGTGCAGCCTTTTAATCATATGTGGTTATGCATGAATCACAGATGGTAATGATCAGTTGCTATTATTGATCATCACAATTGACGAAGACTTTGGAAAATAATTATTGTTGTTGAAATTTTTTCGTTATGTAGATTCTTATAGAGCGTGTTCAGCCGAACTAAGTCCTGAGTAAACTTAGTAAGATATGTATAGTATAGTAGATAGATATATGTATAGCAGGGAATGCTTTGACTATACTTAGGCTAACTAAGTTTACTCAGGACTTAGTTCGGCTGAACAAGCTCATACTCTACTATAAAAAAACCTCGAAGGATCATAAATGATCCATGTGTGGGCAGAAATAAATGATCGTTCGTTGCACCTAATTAGGTATGATTATTTCTGATCATGGGTTGATTATTCATAAACACGGGTTCATGCATTATATGCATAACGGTTCGTTTCCCGTCTTAGATAAAAGTCAATTGAAATTCTTTTAGACTTTCTGATCGACTTTAGTTATATGAATTACTCTAAACTTTTTAAATTTGAAAGCATTTATGTCAACGGTAAGGACAGAAATAAGAATAATCATGATTGTAGCAGGCGTTCGAAAATTTTTTTTAAACTTATAAATATGTAATTTATTGCAAAAATAATAAAATTAAAAAAAAATTTACTTGGAAATATTTTTACATTCTTTCGGTGTGATTAAAAAAAATTTTTTTATAAGCGTTAACAACATATATTTTAGGCACAAAAATCGATCATTGAAGGGGCGAAAGCGAAAACGATAAGTAACAAAAATTCTATTTGACACTACTATTTTATGCTTAGAGAACGTTCCACTGCAAAAGAAAAAAAAATACTAATGCAGGAAAAATAAATTTTTTTTATCGCTTACATTATTTCAGTTCTAATTCCTTTAATTATACCATGCAATACTTATGGTATGCAATATGTTTCTGATCAAACGATTCTTAAATAATTGAATTAAAAATTTCATTGTCAATTAACTGGAGTTTAAGGTACTCATGAAAAAAATTAATTTTACCGGATTATTAGGGTCCGATATACATTCTGACACTTCATTAACAGCTAACACCTACCAGTTTAAATAATCTCAACACTAGTAATTTTGTATTGAAATTTGAAAGTAATCATTATTTGAACAATAGTAATAACAACAATAATAATAACTAATATTTTTTCAGAATAAATAAAAATTGTGATAATTATATTTCTATTTCAATTATCACTTGTCACATTTAACATCATCTTCCAATAATCCAATCTGTTTTTATTTAATCTACACTTTAAAAACGATCTGTCGAAGTTGAAAACAATATAATATGACTCAAGAGTAAAAATGGAGGAACTTCATTGCGAGTTTTGATGTGGATACATATGATACATACATACATACATGCTGATGTTCATAGAAAACGAATAATAAAAAATGTATTTTCGAAATCTATCAAGTATTATGGTTATATTTCATCATAATTCTAATGATAGAAAAAAATTAAGTTACTAACTACATTATTTGACAAATTTTAGTCAAAAATAATTTTTTTTGTGAATAATTTGAAAATTTTTCCCGCACTTGGTTATTCCTCGGTGTTACTAGCGTTAGCTTAGCGGAAAAGGGAACAGAATTTATTTTTTACAATATTGAGCTCGTCCTATTTAATTATTAGTTTATAATGAAATAAACAAATTGTCAATTTTTTTAACATTTAAAAAAAAATTAAATTATTCTGTTAATCATGGCGCGAAATAAGCAGCACTCCCTGACCTGAACATGTGCATGCATATGTGCTCATTGTCAAGTACTGGTTTCTAAATTAAAGATATAATTTTAACGGAAATTCAAACATAGTAAAATATATTTTTAGAAATATATCGTAATCAAAATACAGTAATAATGATCATCATCGATAATGTCTTGAATTTAAAAACTAGCCTTAAGAGCCGGTCCGTATGATTGCATTGCAGTTTTCATTTCTCTTCTAAACAAAGAAGATTTTCGAAAAAAACGCTCTGCTATGTAAAAGATTTATTAATTATCTATTTTATATCAGCTTTTTTTCGAAATTCTCATTTGTTTAAAAAAAAAAAAAAAAAAAACATAAAACTGCAATTAGCTTTATCATCACGAGTGCAACAAGGATAATACTGTTTCTCGCCGTAAGTGCGACGCGAGAAAAAGATGGGATCGGCTGTTAAGATTATGTAGAGTAATTGTATATGTACAGTGTGTGTACATGATGGTAATGCTGATAAGGTAGCGATGAAAAATTGAAAAATAACCACATGAAAAAGAAACAGTTACACATTATGAAATTATGAAGATAGCGTGATAACTACTAATAATAATTTGCAACAATATTATGTTAATTTATTAAGTTTTTTTGAATTAAATCATTATTTTTACAACAAAGATGGTAAGCACACATACATTGGTCTACTGACGAGTAACTTACGCTGTAATTTACTGCCATCCAGAAGAATAAATTTAAACTAAAATTAATACATGTTAAATTTAGCGGGGAAATTTCTGGTTCCTAGAAATTTTTTAAAATGTAGATCTGCTGAGAATTCGATTTTCGAAAATTGCAGC